TCACATTTTATCACATTTTAAATCATTTATCAACAATAATCTTTATTACAAAAATGATTCAAAAGAAATGATTAAAAGAATTATAGCACGTTACTTTTCCGATCGAGGACAATGGATGATAATTGATCCATCATTACTAACAAATAAAAAAGTGAAAACATCAAATGTTAATCTTAAACTTGAACCATATAAATTAATTGATTTTACTGTTCTTGGTATACTTGAAGGTGAACATATAACAACAGAGGATTTTGATACTTATTTTGATAAAATAAAAGGACAAGAAATTGAACAAGAAAAAGAAGAAAAAAGAATTAATCGTGAAAGAAATCGAACTGAAAATGATCGTAATCAACAAAATGGAAATAGTGGACGTCGAAAATCACCATAAAATACCATGCGAATTAGTGCTGATGATTTTGATAGTTAATCATATACAAAAGTTATCCGATTACTTTTATATTTATTTTTATTAATAATCAAAACCACTAATCCAGAGTATGTGTTGAATGTTTTTTCACAAAAAGAAAACTTGAAATATGATCGATTAATTTTATCTCTATCCTCATAGTGCTTTTCGTACACCTAAAGCACTGTTACAATAGGGGCAATAATGAGTTGTTTTTTTAAATACTGGCACACACAATGGAATCCAAAACAAACAAAAAGTGCAACAAAGGAAGAGCAGAACACACATCCAAGTCACAGGTGTCATTTCTGCTTTCACACGTGTTTCTACTGTGGCACCACATCGTGGACAAACAAGCCCAACCGGTTTTCGTGGCCATTCGTTTTTGCTAGGAGGAAGTGTTCCTGGACCTGTTGGATACATTGTTGATAAGTCTAAAAATAGAATTCTTACATTCTCGTATGAAAACAAGATTAGAATTTTACTTTGATTGTTATATACAGGTTGTGGCTGTTGTTGTGTAGGTGCCGAACGAGGTGTTATTTGGAAACTCATCGCATACGTAGGTGGTAGTTGTTGAGGAGCTACCTGATATATTGGTTCTGGTTGTGGATTGATATTCATGTAATTATCAGGTTGAAACTGTTCGTATGCACCGGAATATGTCGGTTGTGAATAGTAATTATTAGATAGAGACTCATAATAGGAAGGTTGTTGTAAATTATTGTCCATCGTTACTTCAGATACTTTTCACAATAAATACGAGTTATAAGCGCTCTACGATAATATAAATGACACGCACGTGATGATGTTTTTTATTTATTTAACATGACATCCATTCAACTGTAACGAAGACTACCATTATGTGTTGCTTACACTCACCTTGTGTGCATTAAAATTTTTCATGAGAGCAATTTAAAACAACTGCCTTAGTTATTATGTTCTATAGAATATAATTTCAAACTTATTTAGTTTCTGGAATAAAAAAAGATTCCGACGCCGGGAATCGAACCCGGGCCTCCTGCGTGAAAGGCAGAAATCCTAACCACTAGACCACGTCGGACTATTATTAATATGTTGATATATGAATTATCTTTCTTAGTTATTCTTGGATAAGTGGCAGAAAAATTTGACTATGAGTAGTTTTAGAGAAAAATGATTTAGAAGTTAGAAATCAAACATGGGTATCCTGTATGTAAGGTAGA